TTAGAAGGTGCAAAGCTAAGAGGCAAGTCCCATGAAGCTGAAGTCTTGAAGCAGCTTGCTGAGAAACGAGAGCAGAAGAAAGAAGTGCTTCAAAAGCAAGGAGTGCTTCTCTTTACTGGAAAGAACAACAACTTAAGTAAAATGGCAGAAGAGAAACTGACCCACAAGATGGAAACTAACAAAGAGAACCGAGAGGCACAAATGCCTGCCAAACTGAAGCGTTTGCAAGAGAAGGATAAACACATTGAAGAAGTCCAGAAGAACAAAGAATCAAAAGATCCATCTGATGAAACTGAAGCTAATTTGTTCTGAGAACCGACTTTCTGCCCCTCTGCTTCCTAAATATCCAAAGACTATACTGGCCAGTGTCATTTTATTTTTTTTTCCTCCTGACAAATATTCTAGAAGCTGATTAGGACTGTATTGGTAGATCCAAATTGTAAGATGTTGTTTTAGGGGATACAGTGGAGAAACTAAAAGTGTCTTACTCTTTTTTCTAAAGTGTTGGTCTTTCTAATGTAGCCATTTTTCTTATTGCATCTTTTCTACTTCAGTACACTTTGTACTAAAGCTGGTACCAGTAGTTAACGACTAGGACTATATTGGCTCCGTGAAACATGTTTGTGAGAAAGTATATAGTGGCTTCTTTCAAATTGTTAGATCCTGAATATCTGTTCATTTTTCACTCCTGCTTCTGTCCCAATCTTACCAGATGCTACTGTACTTGAATATTTAATAAAACTGCACAGTGCTAAAAGAAAATAAAAAAAATAAAAATAAAACTTTGAACTATTAATTTATGAATCTATCTCCTTTTGTGAAGGATTTTGAGAAACCAGGACATTAGTTACCCTATTATTCTGAGATCACTTTTTTCTTTTTTTTCTTCCTTCCTTCCTTCTTCTTCTTATTTTTTTTTTTTGATCACTTTCTTTTAGAGTTTCATTTGTTCATAAAACAGAGCTCAGGATGGCCAAAGAGTTCAGCAGATTCAAGTGCCTGCTTAGGCAGACACAGCAGCTGGGAGTTCCATGCCCTGGTCTACGTGGCCAGTCCCGCCCCCAGGGCATGCTGAGACAGTGATTGAGACTGGACATGGTGGCATGCACCTGTAATCCCAGCTCTTGGGATGCTGTAGACAGGAGGATCACTATGAGTCCGATCTAGTAGTGAGACCCTGAACACCCTGTAGACCACACCATAAAATTAAAAAAAAAAAAACAGTACTTTTTATAAATTTAAATTGTTCTATTTTTCATGTGCATTCTGAAAAATTTTGTGTTTCAAAGTAGTATATATGTCATGTATATTGGATAACAGTTCCAGGAAGGTTTGCTGACACATGATTTTTAAGAGTAACTTTTTCCTTTTGAACTTTTATATATATGTGAATGTGACTCTCATAATTATGCATTAGATCCAAAGAAGGTCTGAAGTCCTTGGTTGGTCTATAATGATATCCTAGTATTTGGTTTTGAGGAAAATGAATGCAAAATTTAAAAAAAAAAGAAATTATGCAACACATGGAAATTAAATAATCCTGTACTGAATAATCAGTATGTCACAAATGAAATTAAGAAATACATTATGCAATTTCTACAGTCAAATGATAATGCCAGCAAAAATACCACAACATGTGGAACACAACAAAGCAGTCTTGAGAATAAAGTTTAGAGTGGTGAATTCCCAAATCAGGAAAATAGAACAATTTCAAATTAATAATCGAATGATGTGACTGAAGGTCCTAGGAAAACAAGAACAATACAAACCCAAAGCTACTACAAGGAAGGAAATAATACAGACTAGAGAATAAATGAACAAAATTGACACTAGAATAAAGTCAATACAAATAATCAATAAATTGCAGAGTTGGTTCTTTGAAAGATAAAATAAGGAATGAAAAGACCCAAATCCTATTCAATTAAAAATGGAAAAAGTGAAATTACAGTGTATTTTTCTAACATCCAGAGGATTATCAACAGCTACTTCAAGAACCTGTACTCGAACAAAATGGAAAATTCAGGAGACATAAATTCCTAGATACAGATAAACTACCAACGCTGAAGAGTGAAGATAAAAATCCTGAAAAATCCAATATTTCTGTGAAATTGAAGCACAATTAAAAAAAAAAAAAGACACCAAGTAAGAAAAGCCCAGACAGTAATCCAGATACTGCTGGTTTCTCCAAAAACTTTAGGGCAGATCTAATGTTCTAATGTTAATTCTCTTCAAATTCTTTAACAAAACTGAATATAAAGTGACATTCTCAGAACAAGTGGCATTCTCTGGAAGCAAGAATTATCTTGATCCCAAAATCATAAAAGGACCTAATCAAAAAGGAAAGCTATAGGCCAATGTCTTAAACACAGTTGTAAAAATTCTCAGTAAGGTACAATAAAGCCTTGGCTCATAGCATAATTCATTCATAAACATAGTTGTAACCCAAAGCACTTGTATGTCGAAGTGAATTTTCCCATAATAAATACTGAAAACTCAGATGATTCATTCCAGAACCTTAAAATATTCATATAAAATGATCATACTATTGTAATGTGACACAAAATACAATGTTATCTTAGTTCACAAATATAATTCATTCTATGATTCTGGGCTGCATTCCTGTTCCTTTGGGATAGATTGCCCAGTTGTATTGGTCACCTGATGCAGAGTATGTAAACTGAAGAAAACATTTACTGCACGTTTCTGCTTATGAGCTGAACTATTCCTGAAAAGCAGTCTTCATGAACCAAGGAACCACTGTAGTAGTAAAAATATAAAATGTAAAGAAAAATACACAGGTTAACCTCTGAAAACTTCATGGCGGGCCGGGGAGATGGCTCAGTGGAATAAGTGCTTCCCTGGCAAGTGCAAGGATCTGAGTTTGATCCCCGGTTCAGAAAAAAAAAAACCTTCATAGCTAATGTGAGAGAGACAAGAAAGAGGGTTATTGTACAGGAATAACTTTCAACACTACTAATTAGATCACTGCTAGCTATTGGCTCAATGCAATCTTTTTCTTTTTGTGCAACTTTAACAAAGAACCTAAGCAATAATACTTGCTTTTTCTTTTTTTTTTTTTAATTTTTATTTATTTATGTGTGTGTGTGTGTGGCCAGCTCAGCCCACCAGGGGGCGTGGCTGGCTGGCATGTGGGGCTGGGGGATTGAACCGCGGTCCCTGTGCTTTGCTAAGCTTGTTCCAAGTAGGTGCTTTAGACCACTGAGCCATCTCAACAGCCCCGCTTTTTCTTCCTTTTGAGGATTTCATGGAAATGTGACATTGCAGCATTGTTAAACAGATTCATTGCTCACACTGCTACAGCTTTATTTAGGTGATGTTTTTCTACAAAATTTTGTACTGTCTCCCACAGTTTACACATCTCCCTAATGTTATGTAAAGTGAGGAATTCCTCTACCTTTTCTCCTATTTTTCTGTAGATGAGATCTCCTCCACAATTTCTTACTATTGTGAGATGATCATCTATAATCCCACACTGAGAGAGAGAAAAACATTAGCTCAGTTGTGATTATGAATTGTTTATCATCTTGTACTACTTGTATTGCAAAACATTAGTCATCTATTAAGTTAAAATTTGGGGCTGGGGAGATGGCTCAGTAGGATAAGCGCTTGACCGGCAAACGCAAGGATCTGAGTTCAATCTCCGGTTCCGCAAAAAAATAAAT